ATATTTGACGATTATATTGCATGAATTCTTCATGCTATTTAAAACACTTTTTTCCTATTCTTTAAGACATATTTATTAGAGAAATAATTCAAATACCAAAAAGTTGAACAAAAAGGAGATCATAATTAAGAAATCACAGAGTCCAAGACCCAAAGATGATAATTCTTATAATCCTGGTAATTCTATTCCCAGAACCCTCTCCCCACCCAGTATTTATGCTAACCATTTGCTTTGAAATAATGGAATATAATTCCATGTATATGTTTGTAATTTTCTTTTCTTATTTGCTCATGTAATTTAGCCATCTATCCACACTCATTAACATAATTGCAGAATGTAATTCCTAATGAGTTCAGGGCACTTGTTTAAATTAGCAAAGACTAATTTAGTTGACCTATCTCTTATTCTTGGAGATCTACATTGTTTTGTTTTATGAATTTGAATAAAATCACAGCCAAATAACATCCTCACATATTTGTGTTTGTGTACACTTTGATCTGATTTACCTTTAATTTTTAATACTGAAGTAACACATTGAAAAATATCTTCTGTGTCACAGAAGATAATGGGAATCTCCTTTGGTTTCTAACTCCCATTTTCTTGTTAGGTAGTCTTCTCAGTTTTCTGTGTTTACTTCAAGATCTTTTAATTCTTACACACAGAGAGTATTTCGATCTGAATGGAAGCGTGTCATAGGGCTTTGTAAATTATGTTTTATAGAAAATATTTCTTAAAAGAGACACTGCTTGGTCAGAGTGTTAGGACAGTCTTTTTCACCCTGTCCTTGTCACTGTTCACTGCCTTTGTTCATCCTTGAAAGAATGATAGGTAACAAATAGCTACTTTAAATTAATTTTAATTCTGTAGATACACACAAATTCATTTTCCTTACACTTTTAAATTCTTGCTCCTATCTTAAAATTTTTCTTTATCCACACTTCACCCACAATCCTTGTCTCTTCCACCTCCCCTCTCATTTGGTGGATGCATTATTTTAGACCATTTTCTAAGTTTATGTTTACATAAAGATACATGTACAAACAGACCATATACTGCTCTGTGTGTATAATTGTGTTTTTTTTTTTAAAATAAACTATGTCATCTACAAATTGTCTTTCAAAATTAATAGCATTTCTTAGAGAAAGGTGCATATAGATCAATGTTTCTCAAACTTGTTACTTTTGACCTAGTATAACAGATAATTCTTCATTGTGAGAGAGTGTTCTTTGCATTGTAGAAAGTTTGCCAGCTTCCCTGGCTTCTAACCACCAAAAGACATTAACATCTTCCTCCTCTTCTGACCTCAGTTGTAACAATCACCATATACTGTCTTCATACACTGTCAAGTGTCCACAAGGAACAAAATTTCTCTTGCTTAAAAACAACTGATGTATGACTGTATCAAGAAGATGTGGTACGTATACACAATGGAATGTTACTCAGCAATCAAGAAGATAAACTCATGCCATTTGTGGCAACTTGGATGGAGCTGGAAGGAATCATGCTTAATGAAATAAACCAGGAAGAAAAAAGAAAAATGCCAGATGGTTTCACTCATAGCAGGAATGTAAGGGATTAGGAAAAAAAAGTAATTATAATAAAGCAAAAAATGAACACCAGGGCCCTCCCTGGTGGCGCAGCGGGTTAAAGCACTGCACTGAGAATCGAAAGCCACTTCCGCATGAGTTCGATCCCCGCCTACCCTGGAGGAGACCACATGGCCGGCAGACCTCTCCTGACCCGCCTGCTGCTACCCTCAGTAGTGTACTTCCTCTATCTGCCTGTTCTGCTCCCCACTCTGTTCCTGGTGAATTCTGTCACCCTCCACATCTCTGGCCTGTACCTGAGTTCTGTATGAATAAATAAATAAATCTTTAAAAAAAAAAAATATGAACACCAACTAACAACTATACCAGAGACATTCTACCAGGGAGGAGAGGAGAACACAATCAAAACTGTGGAGGGAAGAGCACACAGGACTATGGTGATGCACATGGGTGAATTAGTGGTGGGAAGACCACAGGAATTACAACTGAGAAGAAAAATATATACAAAATGAAAAAAGATGTAAATATATATACATAATATATATTCATATATATATATAATAAAATCAATGTAATAGAAAAAATAAAAAATTACTGATGTAGATGTACAGTATTCCTGTCCCATGCTGCATGACCTCCGAAATCATTTAGCAATTTATTTCTGTTATAGTAAGTATTTTTTCACAGAAGAACAATTCACTGGAGAGAAAATAATGGCATCTTAGGAGAGAACATAGTTTCTGCAGCCAGACAACTTGGGTTCAAATTCTAGATCCTAAATTGAGGATACTAATAGAAAACGAGGATTAAAGGCAGTTAAGCATGGAAAGCACTTTAAAGCAATGGAAGCAGTTGGATAAATGATGTGTTATTACACGTCTCCACATGCATCTGTGCAAATGTTTCTCAAGGGTAGAGATAGAGCAATCATATGGCTGGGCTGTATAAGAGATGCATGTTTTTAATTTGGAGAGATGTTACAAAATGTCCTCCCTAAGAAGTATAGTAATTTATACTATTATCAATAATATGTAATAATGTTGGTTCTTTATAGGCTTGCCAGCAGATTTATACCATACATTGATATTTTTTTCTAATCTGATGGAGTCTACATAGTTTTTCATTTATATCATAATTTGCCTATTCCCAATTACTAGTGTGAGTAGTTTTTCATACATTTATTGACCATTCATACTTCTTCTTTTCTGAATTGTCTATTCATAACTTTTGTTATTTTCTATTTTTTTCTCTTGTTGGTATATAGTAATTTTCAACCATTTTGCTTGATAACACTTTGTTACATATATAAAAGAAGTTCTTCACAGTGTGAAATTTGATTTTAAACATTGTGCAGAATATTGGAATGAGAGATCTTCAATTTCAATGCTGTCAAATGTATTGATCAGTTATTTTCACTTTGCTTTTGGGATCTTCTTTGAAAGAAGTCAATGAACAAATTAACTTGGAAACTATATATTTTACCATCCCAGAGACACCTAGAATCAGAAAATAATTATAAAAAGGAATAAAGAAGACATACACTATCATTAATGAAGTGAATTAAAATGAAAAGATCACTAACATGTACCAGGGATTTTTTATGTATGTTGTCAATATTACTGACAGTTGACTGACACTTGAGAAGACATATAATCTAAAATGAAGATGTCATTAGTGTATGTTCATTTTGATAATTGGGGACATTTAGTATAGGAGCCATACTTAGTAGTAACTCCTGAACCATTATGATATAGGATTCACTGGATTTGGCAATAAACCCTGTTTGCAGTCTGAACATTTTATGTAAGCATGGCATTCCCTTGCATTATATTTGTATCAAAAGTGACAAAGAAATGTTGGAGTGAAATGAATTTTGCCATATCCACTCCTGGATTTATGCTCCCGTCAATAGGGATGTTAAGAAAACAGAGGAATATGACTTAAAGTCTCAGAACTTTATAATACTCTACAGTTACATCTAATGCAGGCTAACCTCAACATTTTGACTTTGGAACATTTCACCATAAGGCTGGGTATGAAAGGGAATTCTACTTGCCATCTCTTTCAACAACATTACCTGCATTGAAGGAAAAGCTGCTTGTAACCATTTGGCTTCAATCACATTAGCGACAGATAGAAGAATTGGGACCTAGAGACCTAGGGGCCGTAAGAAATGGAAAGATGAAAGAAAAATCACAGAGGAGAGTACTTTCGTGCTTTTCTGACATGGACTTGATGTGAATTGATAGGAGACAGAATAGGAATGTAAAGAACTATTTCCAATCCCAGGATATGGAGCATCCCTGTCAAATAAGACACTTTGCCCATGGACTGCCTGCTCAGTTTTGGTTGTGATGTCTTATAAGATGTATCTGCAGAGACTGTGGGGAAAAAAATAGCAGCTAAATGTATAAGCAACTTTGTTGTTAGGAGTCTGATTGGCACAGCCTGTAGTAAATGATGTGAGGCAATAGCTTTATCAATAGGAAAGTTCTAGAAAATCCCTTCATTACAGGTCTGCATCTGACCTGGAAATTTACAGATGGAATTTACAGATGGGTATAGATCTTAAGAGAAAGACAACCAGACCAATGCAGAGAATGAACCAACTTTTTCCTTGAATTTATACATTGAAGACAGCTCTGCAACTGAGGAAAGACTTGAATTTCGGAGATATTAGCCTTAGTAAAAAGAAAAGATGCCAGCCCTCCCTGGTGGCACAGTGGGTTACAGTATAGCACTACGAAGCTAAAGCCACTTCAGCATGAGTTTGATCCTCGCCCCGGAAGTGATCCAGAGGGCGCAGCAGAACTCTCCTGACCCACCCACTGCTTCCCCTCAGCAGTGTACTTTGTCAGTCGGCCTGTTCTGCTCCCCACTCTGTCTCTAGTGAATCTTCTCACCACCCCTGCTCCTCTGGCCTGTACCCTAGTTCTGTATGCATAAATAAATAAATCTTTAAAAAAAAAAGATGTCAAGATAAGAAATGATACACCTTTGTGCAACTCCTCTATGCCTACAAGACTAGATATAAATCAAATGCATTTAAAAATATTTTTGCATTTTTTTAAAGATTTATTTATTCATTCATACAGAATTGGGGTATAGGCCAGAGATGCGGAGGGTGAGAGACAGAATGGGGAGCAGAACAGGCAGATGGACAAAGTACACTGTTGAGGGGAGCAGCGGGCCCGTCAGGAGAGGTCTGCCATGCCATGTGGATCTCCTCCAGGGGCAGGCGGGGATTGAACTCATGCAGAAGTGGCTTTAGATTCTCAGTGCTGTGCTTTGACCTGCTGTGCCACCAGGGAGGGCCCTATTTTTGAATTTTTAATGTCAACTTATTATTTTTATTATTCAAAAATATGTATGAATGCTAAGTTTCAGCTTGACTTAAACTAAGATGCATGACCTTGTAACTAGAGCAGGTCAGGATCCATCTGTGCAGTGCCTCTCATCTCCACCCTCCTCTCCCAAAGGAAACTCACCACTGTCCCCACCATAGTTTCCTTGTTTCTGGACCTGAAAGAAATTGAAACATTATATATCCCCCTTGTCCTGTTCTGTTGTTCAACATAAGTTTATGAAATTCTTCCTTATTGTGTAAAGTTACAGTTTGTTCTCTGTAAAATTCTACTATATGAAAATATCACTATCTCACTGCTGTAAATTCTGCTATTGATGGGAATTTGAGTAGTTTTCAGCAGGAGACTGGTAACAATACTACTACTCAACAGAATTATACAATCTTATTTTTGTTTTTCTTGAGCACTTACCCAGAAATGAAATGGGTTAAAATATTTCTTTACACATTACTTACATACACACATATTCAATTTTATCACTTACTTTCAGATCATTGTCAAAATGCCCAATTTTAGACAGAAGTATCTCTAAAGGGATTCTGATTCATTTCACCCACTTTATTTTTAAGTTTTTTAATAAGACACAAAAATAAGGGTATTTTTATTGGCCATGAAATTGTTCTAGATCTTGATTGTGGTGGTGGTCACATAAATACACATTTATCAATTTGTAATACTGTTTAACAAAAGAGGTGATTTTTATTTTATGTGCCACAGTTATTGATTTCCCAGTTGAAAGAGATTTGGTTATTTCTTCTTTTTCACGGTCACGACATTGATTTTAGCTGCTATGAACATTCATACCAGGTATTACAGTAAACATATGCTGTTCTAGTAGGGTTGTACCCAAGGAAAGGGGAGCTTCTGGGTTCTTTAAATTTTACCACCTGTGTTTCTTTGAGCTCTTTCATACCCAAGGAACAGGTCTTAAATACCAACTCATGGTAAAATCACCACTGATTATCTGACCCTCTTCCACTCTCTTCTCCTATAATTTTGTAGCACTGGAACGCCCTGTTCTTTCATCTCATACTTATTTATCATTGATTATGTATAAGCCACTATATAAAAGAACACAGATGGGGGAGATACAGGTCAAGGATGGCAATCAAAATACTTAACAACTTATATAGCATCTGACCTTTGAGAGGACAAAGTAATAGCCTGGGTTAGGACAGTCACGGCATTGATTTTAGCTGCTATGAACATTCATACCAGGTATTACAGTAAACATATGCTGTTGTAGTAGGGTTGTACCCAAGGAAAGGGGAGCTTCCGGGTTCTTTAAATTTTACCACCTGTGTTTCTTTGAGCTCTTTCATACTTGTCTTGCCAAGTGTATACGGCATGGTAAGCTGAGAAGTCTAACAGGTGCTACGTTTTTAAAAATTTATTTATGCATACAAAAACTGGGGTACAGGCCAGGGGTGCAGGGGGTTGGTGTGTGAGAAGATTCACCAGAGGCAGAGTGGGGGGCAAAACAGGGAGATCTACTGAAATACACTGCTTAGGGGAGCAGGTACCTGCTAAGGAGAGGTCTGTGTGGGCCACCTCCCTGCCCAGAGATCACACTCATGCCGCAGTGGCTGTGGACAGCTTCATAGTGCTATGCTTTAACCTGTTGTGCCATCAGGGAGGGGCCTAACAGGTACTACTTTTAGGATAAGCTAGCTAGCTGCGTTGGAGGACTGCCATTAATTTAGATTTCATTGACTTGACAGGTATCTCTCATCAGTGCAGGCTGACAGGTATAGATGTGTGATGTGGGTCTGGCCACTGCAGCAGACTCCATTTTGTAAACCCCTATATACAAATTAATATTATCAGCCTTAAAGAAAAAGAGGTGAAGGGCACAAATTAAGCAAAGGCAGAGAGTTAAAAATGCACTGTGTTTGCCTGTTGGAAATGAATATAGGTAAGATAACAGTCAAAACTAAGTATGGAAAAGAGAAGATTTGGGGGGAGTACAGATTGATCCTTTTGACACGATTAATACAGCATAGAACTTTTCTAGCCAGGAAGGATCTTAGAAAAGCTACAGGGCAACTGTTTAGCTGTTTTTTTTTTTAATACAGATAAGAAAACTGAGACCTGGAAGCTTAGTGCACTGACATCAGACACAAGATTCTCAAATCAAAGCACTTGCCTGGATCTCACATTTCCCTCTCCTCAACATTTTTAAAATGCAAAATAAATAAATGCCTACAAGCAGCTGCTGCTGGTGGAGAGTCTTGATTTCTCCCCCAGAGAGCTGGCATCCGGCCTTACTTCCTGAGAATGCATTCAAATAGATTGCACCCTTCAAGTCTGCTTTCTCTTAGGTGTTTTAATAAAGTAAGTACTAGAGGTGTGTGTTCTGTTCTCTTTGCCCCTCGTACCAGTCAGCTGAGTCAGAACCAGCTCTTTCCTTCTTTGAGGCAACAATAGCTCAGCTGCTGTTGAAAAATCTGATTCAAAATATATTACATAAGCTCGCTCATCTCTCAACTTGTCAGACACAAAGCTGTCATCCTTTCCCCTGTGCTCACTCCTACATTAGATGTGCTTGCCATTAAGCCTCATTCTCTTCTAAAATATTACTGGAATCCATTTTATTTCCATTCCTTTTATCTCTTCTATTAGTCAGAAGGAAAACAGATAAAAAGGCAGCTCTTAAAACAAATAAGGAACCTCATAGTTTTGAACTCACCAGTGTTCATCTTTTCCTGAAGATTTTGTGTTTGATGGACAATCATCATATCACAGGACCTGATAATGGAAATGAAATTTTATCCCAAATTTCTTTAATATAAATTTACAATTTTAACTTCGTCACATTTAACTACTGTGGACAAAAGCTTTTGATCTATTTATAAGACTTCACAACCTAGTTTAATTTCTTAAATATGATTTTGCATCGGTATTATGAGTTTTAATTAGAATATAATGTTCAGAATAGTTTTAAGTGGCATTTACTGCACATTTGCCATGGCCACAAAGTAGACTCTACTAAATGCTAAACACGAGTTAGCACAGGTAGTAGCTGTAATCAGTCCTCTGCGATAGACATTTTTTATTACATTCTTATATAGGTGGGAAAACTGAAACTTAAGATATTTAATTATTCACCCAGGTCTTCTAGCTAATAATAAGTAAAACCAGAAATTGAGTCCAGATAATATGGGTCTCAAATTTACATATATGACCATCATATTCTTCAACTCAATTCTATGCAATAGTTCTTAATTTCATCTTGATTCTCTAAAAAATTACTCTATAAATTTCATTGAAAACAAAGACAGGAGTAATTATTAAAAAAAAAGAAAAAGCAAATAAAGTAGAAAAAATGAAAAACTGTGGTTAGAAAAAGAAACTGAGATGACATGTACTGATAAATAAAATGATAATAAAACAGAACCACATTTTCCAGGACATTGGTTCTCTTGACAGTTGAACAGCTAAAGACCGCATTTAAGCAAAAGGGGTCCTGCAAAGCCTTTTACTGTTATAATAGGCCAATTTGTATGTAAGTTTAATAAATGAGGTAGGGATAAAGGCAATTGCTAAATTATTAGCAAGTTTTATTTATGATGTAGTGACTGTATTTGGCTATCTGGTATTTTGCTCTATTTAAAAATAGAAAATAAAAAAAATATATATGGATAGGAGTATACAAGAAGCAGATACATTAAAAAAAGGAAATAAAGAACCATGAATAGTATGGCAATGGTGATAACGGGAATGAGAGGGAAAAACAGAAATCAAAAGAATTAACAGAGAGGTAGGGCAAAGCAGTGGATTGGAAGTACTAATAGTGTTAACTGTCCAACTTACCCAAAGTAATGTATAGGTTCAATGCCATCTTTATCAGTTTCTATTGAAAGAAACAGAGCAAACATTACTGAAATAAAATGGGTCCAACATTTAAGCGGACACAGATGGCCAACAAGGATGTGAAAAAATGTTCAACACCACTTATTATCAAGGAAATGCAAATCAAAACTCCAATGATGCACTACCTCCCTCATGTTGTTCCTTATCAGAAACAACAAATAGTGGTAACAACAAATAGTGGAGAAGAAGGAACCCTAATACATTGTTGGTAATAATAGACTTATCTAGTCCCTATGGAAACAGTAGATTTTCTGAAAATGGTCCAGCAATTCACTCCTATGTATCTACTGAAAGATTACAAATCACTAATTCAAAGGGAAAGATGGATTGCTATGTTCACTGCAGCACTATTTAACATAACCAAGTCATGAAAACAACCTAAGTGCCCATCAATAGACCAGGGATTTAGAAGATGCAGCATATTACACAACGAATTCTCCTCATCTATATTTAAAAAAAAAAAAAAAAGTACTCCTGCCATTTGCAACAATATGTATTCAGCTAGAATGAATTATGCTAATTGAAATAAGCAGCCAAAACCAAAAGACAAATACCAGATGATTTTACTTGTATGTGGAATATAGAGAAATAAACAATCTACAATATCAACAGAAAATTCATGGGAACTGACAAAACCAAGCCAAAGTAAACCCTTAGAAAGGTGAATTCAGAATTGAAGCTACTGTGGGGGGCCAAGGGATAGAACAAAGGTGGGAGAGGCCCAAAGAACTATGAAAAAAGACTACAGGTATGTGGATGGTATGATAGCTGACATATGATCAGGTGTGAGTCTGTTCTTCTAAGCCAGAGACAGTGTTGTAAACCAATGTCGCTTCAATAAAGGAAAAATAAATTAATTAATTAATATCACAGTATGTCCCCAAAATTAAAACAATAAACAAAGGATCTAGCAAGATATAACATGCGAGGGCATTTTCAAGAAGAAAATCAGCTTGAGATCCCAATAGTAAGTCTGATAGTGATAAAGTCAAAGCATTCCTAAGAGGACTGAATATATTCTCAGCAATTTCATTCATTTGGTCTGATAACATAAAATGTATATTATTCATTTTATTTGTTTTAAAATGAATGTCTTAATTTTTCAATAGTATTTAATTTGTTTAGGCTTAGGTTATCCCAAGATACCCTTATTATTTTGTGAATTTACTGTACCTTCTATATTTTTCTTGAATTTACTCCCTCACATTCCAACTGCTTCTAGGAAAATCATACCTGTGTTCTAGAATCTAGATTCCATCATTAGCTAGTAGTTTGTATGGGTGATTTGCCTCACCAGATTTTGTATCTATGTGGTAAATTGTTTGGGCACATTTTTTACTTCCTCAATGGAAACGTAGTCCTCATTTTTTTAATTTCTCATTTGCGTTCCCTGCTTATTTAGTTATGTTGTTCTTTTAGTGTCTTAAATAGATTCTTTGTTGGTTCTTTCAGGAGGATCAGCACTAGATTTCAGAAAAGCAGGATTTTGTTCTCTGACATCTGTGTCCATATTCTTTCAGCTTCTTCATGCCCTTAACCAAAGGCAGCAATGGGGATGAACACAATGAAAACCTCTTATGTCATTTTGCTCTGATGACACAGTGTCCTACCTGTAAGATTTCTTCATTATTTCTCTTCATAAACTTCTTGATGCAGCCTACGAGTATAAAAGCACACCAGCTCATATTTCCACTGCAAACCAAAGACTCGGATTCTGTGCTGCAGAGTGCAGTGGTCACTCTGAAGCCCATCAGTGGCCTATAAGCCCTGGGTGTCCTCCTTGAAGGCTTCCCTGTGGAGTCTGCAGTCATGCAACGTCTTCCTGTTCAGAGTTTCAGCTCTCCTCTACTTTCAGAGAAAAAGAAATTGTAGTTTGACATGTTCTTTTTTTTTTTTTTTTTGCATTGGAATGATTTTGGAGAAGGTAAGCAAAAATTTAGGCCAGTATCTTCGAGCTCAAAGAGGCACCTATCGTTTATTGTCTAAAGATCTGACATTGAAAACAGTGAGTACTGTTTAAATTGATGGCATGTTCTCTGGCTTACAAAGGGATGAGGCGTACAAGTACCTAAATCCCACAAGTTATAGGATTTTGCCAGAATTTTAAAATGAAACCAATCCATTTTATTTTTTAAAGATTTATTTGTTTATATATACAAGAGTTGGGGTATAGGCCAGAAGTACAGAAGGTGACAGGATTCACCAGAGTGAAGAGCAGAACAGGCAAATTGACTGAAATACACTGCTGAAAAAAGCAGTGGGCGAGATAGGAGAGGTCTCCTATGCCATGTGGGTCAACTCCCTGGCTGGGATAAAACTCAGGCTGCAGTGGCTGCTGACTGCTTGGTAGCACTATCTTTAACCCTTGTGCCACCAGCAGCCCCCAGCCTCTTTTAATTAGTGCCACCCAAGAATTCCACTCTTAGATTTAAAATCCTGCCAAAAAGGGGAATATTAGTAACTTCAGTTTTAAAGTTGGAAAAGCTAAAACATAGTATGTCCAGAAGAAATGCCCCAAACTACACACAATCTACAGCTATCTGCTACAAATTTACTATAATGTGTTGCCTTCAAGCATTATTTAATAATTCCCAAATGAGTTTTTCTATACAGGAATATTTTTCTCAGTTTTACAGGTAAGCTGAGACTCTCAAAGAGAAGTGACTTACCTTTGGCTGCTGAGGCAATAAGTAGTTTCTCAGTGACTCAGATATTTAAATAATCACAACTCTTTGTCTTCTAGATTTTTAAGAAATGGAGAACAGGTACTGGATAGAGATGAAGAGTTTCATGATCAGTACTGTATTAAAGGACATGCCTTATTCCTTCGATTACATGCCTGAACCAGATCTTGGAAATGGTTGGGAGAAAGTCATGTCTACAGTGTGGGATCTGGAGAAACCTAACTATCTCAGAGAGACTTGCAGCCTGCCTGGCTCCTCACTATGAGGGCTGGTTAGAGAAAGCTGGAAAGTGGCAAGTCTCAACACTCCACCCAGAACAGGGAGCATGGGAGCAGGGTGGAGAGAGACGCAGTCAGCAAATATGAAAGGAAAAGAATATCCCTAAGAGCTGGGGCTACCAACACCAGCAACATATGTGAACACTCCTCTCCTTCCCCCCAACCACGTGGGGGCACAGAAAAGAATCAGAGCTGGAGAGAAAGAAATGAAGACTGTGACTCCATCATTATGCTCTCTTTAGAGACATGGAAGGCAATTCTCCTTTACAGAAACAAGGAGAGTATTAAGTGTCACAGCAACTTTGATAGTTCCAAGGCACTCTGCCCTGTCTACTGCCTTCTTGGCACAGAGAGCAAAAAAGTGGAAACTAGAATATTTGACTTTTGCTTTGAATTTCCATCTTTGCCACTAATTAAAAGTGGAAGGCTGGAGGACAGAAAGCTTCATTCTCAGGAGGAGTTTGATTGGGTCTTTCATTTGATTTCCTGCTATTCTTACCAACATCCTGATTGTAGTGAGGTGATCAGCGCCATTCTTTCCATTGGGGAGTGAAGCTGGATAGCCACAATCTGTCTCTTATAGGGAACATCAACAAATTGCTCTTCCTCCATCCCTTGCCTTCCATCACTAAAGCACCACCACTGTATACATTCCCTTACCCTCTTTTTTTAACTGCCCCGTTTTAATCCACAATTTGACTTCCTTTTCTTTCTCTCCATAGTGTATTTCCTATTCATACCATTAAATCCCTGCCTGTGATCCTTTGAATAAAGTTCAGGTTTCTTAATAAACCATCTACAAAGAATGTTCTACTTACAAAGTTCTTTTAATTAGGCTTTCCTTAATAACCCTGGGAAGTGACTGGTTCGCTTAAATCTACTCCCTGGCCCTCCCTCTGTTTCTACTTCTTGTATAAATCCCCTTGCCCTCCCTCCAGCCTCTCCATTTGCCATTATTTGCCTGTCTCCCTGTTTCTTCAATGCACCTTCCTTAGTTTCTCAGATAGATCTGCAAAGACATCTGAACTGGGACCAAATGTGTGGAACTGCAATTTCCTCCAGCCTCACCACCCTCTGGGTACATATGTGGGAGCATTTATATTAATATCTAATTTTTCTGGCTCATTGCCTCAGACTGCTGATGCATGAACCCCAATTCCCTGAAAATTCCCTCTTAAGGATTTCTAGACTCCCCAGAGGCATGTGGGACATATGTTGGCCCCTTCGTTGCCCACACTCCGCTGGCCACAGTCACTTCCGCAACGTTGCTCTGCTCGGTCAGTGTTCTCTGCCTCTGCTTTTTTGGATGCAGAAATCCTCTGCAAATACCTATGACTGCTCCATGTGATGCAGCTAGGACTTTCGCTATATCACACTCCTCTTGTGAGCACAAAAATCTCTCAGCTAGCCTTCTGTCCTCTTATAGCACACCAATGAGCACAAAATCCCAGCTCTGCCATTCCTGGCTGGTGGCACTCTGGACCACTATGGAAGTCAAATCAGCTCTATGTTGTGTACAGTGGGGTGGGTGAGACAGAATCTCTGCTCTGTGCTAGATTCGGGTAAAGGCATCCCAGTGGAGTGATGTAAGGCAGCTGTGCTAGTTTGCAAGGGTGGCCATCACGTAGTGCCAAAGACCAGCAGGCTCAAATAACAGAAATGTGTTTTCTCACAGCTCTGGGGGTTGAAAGTGATACAGTAAATGGGCTCTCAGATAAGCATTTGCGGATTTGCCTCCTTTGACAAATTTGACAAAATTGGTTTTCCCAGACCTCTTAATTGTCTGTGGGTTTACTTTTTTTCCTCTCCTTTCCTTACAGTTTCTCTTCTTTTGACAGGTTTAGGGTCAAGGAAAGGAAATCCCAAACAAAAGCGAATAGTGAGAAAGCTGGCCGGCACCGACTCTTCCTTCCTGTGCTGCCCCCTGCCCCCTCCCCATTACTCTTGCTGATTCCCCATTTTTGTTGGTCTTTGTGTAAATAAAGGCTGGTGCCCACTGGTCTTCATCCCAGCACTAACTTTTACTCCCTCCCCTTTGCGGACGCTAGCCCACCTC